CCAAAGGCTGCTTGAGGTCGGCTTGGGAGAAACTGCCCAGGTGTCAAGCCAGCCCAGCCCAGGTCGGAGCTTTTGCCGGAGGACCGGAAGGACCTTTCGCCGGGGGGTGCTGGGAGTGGACCCCCAATTTCAAGCATAGAGAGTGGCCAGAATTCGGCAGTCTTCTTTACTCAGACAAACGCCGGGTCTCGTTTCAGATACATATCATCGAACGTTTGTGATCAAATCTGGCCCGTCTTCCCAAAATGTTGCCTGCCAGATCTTTGTTGAATTCCGAGTGTCTTGTCCACATGTTTTTTTCGAGATGTTCATTTTTACCACTTGGACCTTCCCGTTCCGCTCTTTTCTTGCTTTGCTTTGTGTGCCGGAAGGGTCAAGCACGGATAGGTGGCCTTTTGCTGGGCTTCTCTTGTGCAATCCATGCGCTGCCCGACTTTTCGTGCTCACCATTGTTCCCAGTTCAACACCTGCCCCATCCCAACCCCAATACGGTTCGTTCCTACAAGGGTGTGGCTCAAAATTAAGCAGGAGGGGTTACGCAGGTTTTGGTCCATGTTTCCACTTACCAGGGTTCCATTTTGGTGCCGGCTTTTTGAGCCATAGCCACAAGAAGACATGCAGCACACCCTTCGGACACCTCCCTAGTTTGACACCACATAGGATCAATTACAGGCCCTCCTTCGATGGACGGAGGGTGGGGGTCTATGGAGAAAATAATGTGAGCCACAATCAAAACCCGGGTTGCTGAAGGTTAGTAAGGGACAATCCCAACCATAAATGGATATAAATGGCTGTGGCCGCCTTCGTAATTATTTGCATAGTTCTGGGTAGACCATTTTAATACCTGGTTGTTTTGATTATGGCTCATGTATGTGTCGGTCATTTTCGGACCTCCTCCAGATGTGCCCCAACTAGGCGCTTTAAGCAGCATAATTGAGTCAAAGGTAACAAAATGCAAGGGCACCTGTGCCCATTGGCAAATTCCATTCTGAAACCAAAGGAGCCTTGTCCCTGTCCAAAAAGTCTTCGGAATTGCTCAAAAGGGGAATTGCCGGAATTGCAATTGAACATCTTTTGCTCAGGTTCCAAAGTCTACAGTCAAAGTTCGAAGCTCTTTTTTAAATCTAGTGTTAAACCCTCGATACTTTGAAGCAGGGTTGTGGGATCAAGGGGTTTATCCCCACTTCTGTGATACAAGGGAATCCCCTCTTTATATGGGGGGTTGGTCTTTGGGAGGCCCTTTTTGTTGTATCACAGAAGTGGTCATTTCCCACAGCCCTGCTTTGAAGGCATAGAAAGCAACCAGCATGGAAAGTGGGCATCGAGCCCATTGGAGCTTGGCGTGTGGCGTGCGCCAACTCTTTTGCCTTTCGGCAATCGCGCCTTTCTGCAGCATTTTCGCAGGCCCTGGGTGTCTACCCGGTTTGGCTCTTCTATGCTGCCTGGCTAGCACTGGGCAGATACTGGGAGACCTCCTCGTTCAGTGCCTGGCACCTTGCTTTCACTCTGTTTCCGGTTTCTTGCCCAATCCTGCGTATTGCCCAATCGAAGATCAAGGTTGGCTTTCTGCGTGTGAGGTTTCTCATCGAACAGATGTTGCTCCCGTGGTTTTATAAGTTTGGTTGCTCCAAGCGATGTCTTTTTGTTCGCTGGCATCTCAAGAAGTAGAGCGCAGAGCCTTGCTGTTGACGGCTTGGCTTTTGGTATTGCTGTTAGTATCGTTGTTATTAGTTGCCCCCTTCATCTTTTGCACAGAACGGTGACCCCTGTCACAGTTGAGAGGATGGAAACTAGTGTCTTGGAGTGGTGTTTGTATTCCCACATCTTTGTAAGTGTCCGTATTCGTTCGGCTTCAGCTTAACGTGCAAAAGCAATAAAGCGAAATCAACACAACCACATGGACCAAGATGCCAGATCCGTTCTTGACATGAACTATAGATCAATATTGTAGTGAAGGAGAACAGTGAAACGCAGACCCACAGTCACAGTTTGAGAATGGTCCTGTGACAGAGGCATTCTTACAAACTTGCCCAAATCACAGTTTGTTTTTGTGTTTCTGCTTGGAGGTGAATTCAATTGGCGCATTTCGATGCAGACTATAATAAAAGTAAGCTTCTGTTGGCGTGATGTTTCTAGGTGCCATACAATGACAATTGCGCTGTATGCAAATTGGAGCAGGCGGGTTGATGTTGGTTCATAGTTCCCAGCCCTTGGGACAACTGACATCATCATCCCGGTCTGAGTGCAATGCTCGTCCTTGTGCAAGGACTGTGAGGGTGGTAAATCCTTCCTGCTTCAAGCGAGCCCTTGGATCCGTATCCTTGGTGCGGGCAATCGCACTGAGGTTGCGATCGCGTGGTTGATTCTCATCTCCTAAAGCTGAAGTGAGGCGTAGACGGCAGGGAGAGTCAGTAGCTCGTTTCTGTGAACATCTGAAACTGCAAGCTGATATTCAAGTTGGATTCACAGCGCCCTCAGAACTATGCATGGGCAATGCTTTCACTTTGAGGGCGACATCGTTTGAACGCATAAACCGACTTGTTGCCATTTTTGAACGCATGAATTGACCAAGCATTGGCTTGCCCAGCTAGCTGACCACCGTGTTGACTGTTGCGAGTTGCACACTGGGCTAAACTCTGTGGAGCAGCTTGGACTAAAACCTCTCAGACCAATCATTCGGAAGTATTAAAAAAAACACAGTGTTTCATTCCTTTGGCATTTTGCATAAAAGCCAACATTCGACAGCATTATTCTTGCAAAACATCCCATGCTTCTTGCAACAGGATTCCTTTGGCATAATTTGGATAAGTTTCATTCCTCTTAAGCAACATATTTGATATGCATACAATTCCATTCGACAGATTTGTCGCTGGCAGCAGTTGCCAGTGGCTCGTCTCACCCGGACAGGATGCAGGCAAGCGCAATATCCATCGCTGTCGGGCTTGTCGGAATCCTCTCTCCCTCTCTCGTGATCAAATGGCTTGTGCTTGATTTGGATAATACAAATAGTGCTCGCGTTGCACACAACTTCCTCGCACTTTGCAATGACCCGCAACTGTCAAATGTCACGCCTCGCATGGAACACGGGCTGGAAGGCACTGTACAGCCACCTGAGTTCTTCTCCTTCAGAAATGCTTTTGGGGAGGTGCGTGACCCCTGAATTTGTTGTCACAAAAGGTAGCCTCAAGGAGGCTAGCTTGAGTTTGTCCTTGCGTTAGCAAGGCTAGACTGAGGGGGTCTGAGGGTTGGCCCAGCTGCAAAACCAATGAAATATCGGCCCCCCCTCCCCCCTCCCCCCCTCCTGGTCCGCCCTCTGGGCCGCCCCTCCCCCCTGCGTGCCTGATTGGCAGCTTCGCTCCTTTTTTTTTGTTCGCTCGCTTCGCTTCACACCTTGGTTTGCCTTTTGCACCAAGTCACGGTGCACCTTGTCCCTTGCTCGCTTCGTCAGTGCCCCACTTTATATGGTCAACAATGTACAAGTACTTCCCTTTTTCGCGGAACGGAAATTGCCTGTTGAGTTTTACGTGCACCTGAATGGCATTCGATGCAAGTCTCGTCCTTTATTTTGGAGGACAGATTCGGGGAAGCCACTTTATGACACATTAGAGGGACCACTTTCGTGTCTCCCCTTCTCAAGTTGGGTTTTGGTTCCCTTTGCTGAGGAACAAGAAAGAGATCAGACTGCCTAGAAGGTCATACGGGACTCCAATGCATTGGACGCACCTCTTTGCATTCGGTCCAGCCGCAATGTGGCTTGTTTTTTACCCTCCAGACTAACATGGAAGCTCCCAGGTCCCCTTTGGAAGACTTGGTTCCATTTACAGAGGCCTTCTGGGAGCTTCCATGTTAGTCTGAGGGAGTGTAAGAGTCTCTTCCAGGTCCCGGCCCAGCTCTCCATGACATGGCAACCTTGGCAAGCCTAGCAGCTTGCCGATGAAGCTTTGGTTTGACCCCTCACTGCCGTGTAACTGGCTCATGCCGTCGCATGCCTTCGGAGTGCTGGCATGTGAAGGATTCCCTTTGGACTGTTCGAAGCTGCAGATCTTCACGGGACATGTGAATAGCATCCTACTGTGGATGGACGAAATCTTGCACCACCAAAGAAACCCTGGCATGATGATTCGCCTGTGAATACAACAAATAACGATTTCCCATGGTTTCAAATGGTGCAGGACTTTGTCCACACACAGTATGTCAATGCCCGAGGCAAACTGATTAGTCCAATCAGGTTTCATTCCAATACGGTGTCTAAATCTTTCCAATCATGAAGCAGACGTCGACATCCTGTGCCTTTCACAACGGGCTGCGCAACTTACCCACCGTAGCTGACCGGATTTCAAAGAGGACGATGACAACTATGTCAGGGGCACATCGTGAGGCTGTTAGCAAGGCATGACAACAGCAATGATTCGACCAAAGCTATGTTTGGATAGCAAGCGTACTGACTAGCATGCACTAGCGATCTTCATAGCAGCCCCTTGGCCCCACTGGCCACACTTGGCCAGAACGGGAATGAACACCATGGACACCCACTACCGACCATCCAACTCTCACCATCCACCGTTCACCTCACCCGCTATGTACTTCTTTGTACTCGTCACCCAGCGCACCACACACCACTCACAACCTACGGGTACCACCTACTACCCACCAGCTACCAGCGCCACCGCCACCACCACCACCACCACCCCCACCACCACACCACCACCCCACCACCACCACCACCACCACCACCACCACCACCACCACCACCACCACCACCACCACCACCACCACCACCACCACCACCACCACCACCACCACCACAAAGTCTCAGCCAAGTAGTCAATGTGCACTCGCGTCTAGGGCATGTTAGCATACAGAGAAGTATGAGTACACGTGCTTGTTTGTTATACACATAAAGCCATATTGATACATAGATAGATGCATACTGAACGTGAACATGCGTATTGATCTGAATACCTGAACATAAAAACCATACATGTCTTGAATATGCGTATTGATCGTCCCCGCCTTGCATGCACCTGGCGCCATGCGCCAAATGCCCCGCCCAAACGCCGTCACCGGCTCCGGCTTTTGCCGGCGCGGCGCTGGCGAGCTGGCGGCTGGGACATGGGACTTCAATGCAGTCATCCTGTCAAGTCGTCCTGTCATGGTTGTTGTTGGGAAACATTTGTTGGGAAGCATCTTGTCATTTGTTGTTGGGAACCATTTTACATGTTTCCTTATTGTGGTTTAGTTGTTGAAATCCAACCACCTAACTGCTAAAAAATGAATTGTTGCTCCCCTTCCAACGTCAACCAAGTTGTGGCAAAAGCCGCCCCTTTTATTGGGGTCAAGCGACCACGAGGAAGAATGGGGTTTCGTTTTGGGGGTTCATGTTGGTCATTTTGGTCATTTGTTTTGCTTTTTGTGGGTTAACCGACCAGAATGAATGCGCCCTGGCCCGCCCCTTGCCGCAGATTGGCGAGTCTAGCAAAGAGTTCAGCAGAACTCACTTCAAGTCAGGTTTTCAGAATGATTCTGATCAACGAACACTCCCGACGAAGCCGAGCTCCAACTCATCCATGGTTTATGCTATTCGCCAGACATGTGGGCCTCAACTTCGCCATCGCCAAGGAGCGCCCGGCCCGGCCTTCAACCTGCAACCAGGGCGCCGCGGGCGCCGCGGCGCGCGCTGATCGGCCCCGAGCTGCGGCGGCTGAGAAGCGCGGAGGTCTGATCGCATGCAAAGCAAATCGGCGGATGTGGGGCGATCGATTATACTTAAAGATTTGCTGACAGGTAAGTGGTGCTTCAAGGGACGATAGGTCAGTACCAGTGTGAGTCTGACAGGTGCTTCAAGGGGTGATCGAGGCGACTTGGTACGTCAGGTAAGTGGGGAGAGTAAGCCTGGTGAAATAACCCGCTTGGGAGGGTACTTCAAGAGGCAGGGTACTCATTGTTATTACCGTTGTTACCCAGAAATGAGCACAATGCCCCTTTAAGTACGTTGAGAGGACAGAGGGTTGCGTCGGTTGTTCCTTTAGGTGTTTTGCCGGGACGCCAGAGCGCAGGAGATGCGCTTGGCCGCGTGTCAGTAGTTGTTTGAACCCCTTCGCAGAATCACAATTATCAACTTCTTTGAGTGTGGATGATCAGCAGTCTGGTGTCGGGACATGCTATACTATACCCAGTGTTGCAAGTAGAGGAGAGGCTTTGCAAGACGTATCCGCCAACCCCAGCTACCCCATGTTCTCCATCCTTGCAAGTCAATTGCGGGAATGCCAAGGAATGATTCATTCCAATCCAAGTTGCTATGTTGACTTCAACCATGGGACCCGGCAGGAACATGGTTCAACTGTGTTAGTAGGACTAGCGAACAGAGCGGGGCATGAATTGAAGGGATTGCAGACAGCTGGCCCAATTTAACATAATGTGGGTGGCTGTTCGTTCCTGAACTGAAGCTTGCAAGCTTTAGGAATTGGGTGGTTTTCGGCACTGGCTCCGGTTTTACAGAAATCAAGGGGACTGCACAAGTATGGGGTATGCAAGGGTCATATGGCTGTAGATTCGATTAGGGAACCCTGAACAGTGGTTGGTGGACAGAAGTCCCCACCTAAATGATGTCCACCAAAGGGTCCCCAATTATTTTTTTTACCCATATACATGTGTGTATAATATGTACACACATACACAAGTATGTGGGCACATACTCCAGGGGCACTTGCTGGGCCAACAGCATCTGTGTACTGAGAGTCTGTCGTGTTTGTGAGTGTTGTGCTCTTCCGATTGGTTTATATCGATATGGCAGAGGGCACTTGGTAATTGCCCGTGTCAAGTGAGCAGCGGAGTCGCCGTCCTCTAAGATATCAATTTTGCGCTGCCTATCACGTTGCCTGCTCCAGGCTTCTTGATCTACTTTGAACCTCAGAGTCGCCTTTGCCGCTTGGTGTCAGGAGGTTCTGCGCCACTTCCGCAATGGCGGCGAGGCCGGGTTGGAGAGTGGAGTCTCCCCGGCCTGCTTCCCTGTTGGACACTTCGTCGTTTGTCAGGTCAGATGTTTGTCATTGAAGGCAGGTGTGTGATCTTGCTTTCAGAGCGTCACGTATTTGATCAGTGCCCAGGTTGTTTCTTTAAGCATAGTTGCAAGTCCTGTGGCCTTTTTCGTTTCACGCCCTTTTACCCTGTTTTTGGGAAGGGTTCCCCTGCTAAAATGACTACAGAAAGAAAAACAGGTACCCTTATTCTAACCTCTCAAATCTGGAGGACCTAGTTGAGGGTAATGTTGACCCCATGTTAATCAATTCCAGTTTATTGATAGGGGGGTGTTCTCCAAAAGTGATGAATCCGCATCCTCTACTGGAGGACCTAGTTTCAGACTCTTCAATTCCAAGCTGACTCAGATGCCAAAGGGCCCAGAAGCAAACAGAGACTGCGACAGGCGCTGCCTTGCCTCTTGCGCCTAGGGGCGCTCGCCAAAGGGGGCGCTCACGTGCAGGCGAAGTGAGTCACCGGTCGAAGCTGGAGATCCCCAGCTCTCGCAGCTGCAAGTCACCGGTAAGGGGAACTCAAACCCAAGGGGGGGGTAATCAGGTCCCGTGGAGATCACACCGGTCTTCACTTTGAGCTGTTCACATGTAGATTTGACCCGAAGAGCCTTAAAAGCGGTGGGTTGCATCAATTCCATGTGAATGGCGTCCAAAACCCAATTCGAGTTCAAACCCAAGTATGGGAATCCTGCATTTGCAAATTGTCTTCCGTTCTTTCCAGGGAGCATTCCTTCAGGGTGCAAAGAATTGTTGCACTCCTTTGACGGATTTTCCATTCGACCACAAGATCTTACTTGTCAAGCACACATGATACATGCGATCAGTTTGCAAGCCAAAGTCCAAGTTCGTGCTCGCAACGGAAGGTGAATGGGGGGCAACGGTTGTTTGGCAGCGCCACAGTACAGTCTTGCCACAGAAGACATGGCCAGTGAAGGATGTGTTTTTAGTCGTTTTTCTCGGCCACGGGCCACCAGTGATCATCAGCTCTGTTGCTCAACTGGACAACTTTGCGCGCGTGTCTTCTGGTGGAGATGCGGCGTGCGGCGTGCAAACTGAAGGTTGCTCAGGTCCGCCGGGTGTTGCGCGTATGGCCCATACGCGACACCCAGTACTAACATGGTTGTCGAGCACCGTGTTTTGCGAGAGCCTGCTGAGGCCCGGAAGGGGCAGACATGATTTTGGAAGCCGCTGGTTTTTTGTGTTTTTGTTAAGTCCCCGTTTGGGTGCAAGCATTGACCAAGCTGGGTTGCTTTGGACAAAAGACTCTAGGAAACAGGTGTCTGCGGGGCTTCGGATGCAGCAGGATTGCACGACTGTGGAAGGACTGGTGACTGCCATTTGAAGTGCCGGGAGTCTCCATGACCCTTTAAAAATGGGGTCATGACCCAGACCATGTCTTTTGCTCTAGTAGGTGGAGTCGAGTGTTGATCTGAATGCTCATTGCTCAAACTTGACCTTGGGTGTTTGGCAAGGTTCAGTTAGGCCTCTCTCAGACTCTTTTGCGCAATCTGAAAAACAGCCCAATAGTTCCTTTGGTGCATTTTGCTTGGATGTTAGGACTTTAACTTTTTGCCAACTAATGGGTTTTCCATTAAACCACAAACAGTTCAGACTTCCAGCAGGGGAGCAGAAAGCAACCGAGGTTCCCTTCAGCTGTTGCCTCGGAGACCAAAGACGAGTTGCTTGCATGACGGCACGTCTGGTGCCCTTCCCCGGAGCACCAGACCCTGAACAAACCCTTCAGCCAGCTCGAAGCCATTCGGATCCATATAGCCAGCTTGGTTCGGGAAGCATTCCGTTGCCTATTGGTCACTTTTCCCAGTGGGACATCTCAAGTCTTTCTCGTGGTTTTCCAACCAATGGGCATCCCATGTATCACGGACATCGCGGACCTTTTGATCAACCCCCATGTTCGTCGCCAAGTTCGTAAGTTGGTAGCCACCCCATTTTGGTTGGCTTCAAGGGGGAACCGAGAAGAAACAAATGAAGAACACAAAAAGGACACCCAAATATGTGGTTCTACAATGAGAAACTACACATCCCCAACTCCAGGCTGCTTCGGTGGCACATGTGGCCGCCTGCTTGGAGCCAGAGGCGCTCAACGATCCCTGCCATCTCATCTCCAAGAAATGGAAGTGGGCGAAACGGGTGATCCCCTGGAATCCGTTTATTTCAGTTTCCAACAATGGACGTGGACAGGGGGAAGCCCCAAAAGGAAAATAGTCTTCCAAACCCTCCGATCGTCAGCTTCCATGATCGGAGGGAAGGTATACTTCCATGTTCCCTTTGGGGAATGACAGGATTGCCCAAAACGATGCGCCACTCCGCCACAAAAACAAACACAACTTCTAAATTTTAAGTTTGACCCCACTCTGTCTCATGGGCGAGGCTACAATTGTGTGCTTTTTTTCCCACTGATTTTGGGTTTTAAGAATCAGGTCACTTTCTGCCTACAAGCGCCCTTCTTTTGCCAACTGCAGGGGAAGGTACCTGGTCTCTCTATGAATTTATCACACCTGCAACAAGTGCAAGAAGTGAGGTAACTGAACTATTTCTCGTGTGGGAATATAAGGAATGTACAGCAATGTTGTGCCATCCGATGGGAGAAAGCTTTCGCATGGGAAAGAGCCACCGCGAGAATGGCCCAATCCAACAAGACCAAACAGTGTCGATGAACACCAAGCAAACATAATATCCTGAGACAAAAAGGTATTGGGCATGCCCAAAACATTACTCTCAGGGCTTGGCTTTTTGGTGTTCCTGGATGTTTTTGGGTTTGGAAATGGGAGGCCTTTCAGTCATGCCCAAAACATGTCCAGTAAACGGGATGCTGTTTGGTAGTTGTTCAAATGCCTGCCTGCCTCATGACTACTAAACCGCCAAATCGCACTTGTGGACAAAAAGAAACAACCGCCAATAAGGGCATTGCTTTCTGATTTGTTTCAGGATATTCTACAAGTGTAGGAGGAAGCCCCTTCCTTTTCAAGTGCAACTTGTGCGTTGCGGGGTTGACCTGATGCAGGCCCGCATGTTATCAGAGTCCGCACAGTCTGATACTTGCAGCTCGGGTGAACTGTTTCCTGGGGGATGGTTGTCATTCTGATGATCTTTTGTATTTGGGGCCGTCATTTTTGAGGAAGGGTGTGGAAGCTCAAAGAAGCTGGAAATTCAGAAACACCTCAGTTGCTGGCCTGTTTTGGAAACAGTATTAAGTCACTCGTCTGCACAAAGGGAAGTTGTTGGGTTTCCACTGCAAATACAGCCAGTGAGGCAACATCCTTGTCCGCGGCAGGACGGTTCCGCGACCTGAGAAAACAAGAAAGAAGCGGCACAGCAGCATCAAACAGGTGGCCACCAGCATTGGACATGCGCGTCAATGTCCGGACCCCTCCGAATCTCTTGCAAATCAGCCGGCAAGTCTTGTTTCCCAGTTGGCTGTGGTTGGCAAAAATAGGGTTGCCCAAAATGGCTTGCCCTTGTAAATGGAAACATGGACTAAAGCCTGCGGTCCCCTGATGGTTTAATTTTGACCCATACCCATTTCCTGTTACAACCCAGGCATTTCTAACCGTGCCAGAAGCATCGCAATATACCTTTGGACCTTGGGAAGCCCGGGGGCCAAGGAGAGCCTTCGGCCAGGTGGCTACAAGAGCCAATTTGTTCATGGCAGCGTTTCAAATGTAGGCCTTCTTTTGAACACGGCAACAGGTTTGCCACCGGCTACAAGGCGGTTTGTTCAAGGGTAGTTGTGACGAAAGGCTTGCGCCCCGGCCTTTCCGCAGCACAAATTCAAAGACTTCTCGACGCGGGCCAGATCTGAAGCGATGTCCCCCAAGTTGTTTGGGGTGATGGTTGGGTTGGGTAGCCAGGAGGGATTTAGCGATGTAAGATAGTTCGAAATCACATTAGGGAGAAGAAGCCAGCCACCCGGAGAGTCCATCATTTTCACTCCCACACACAATCGCCCACTCATCCGCCTGTCCAGGCTCCCTTGATTTTTTTCAAAGGAAACCAACATGAGGCTGTTTAAACAAGAGTGGTTTGACCATTCTTGAGCAAGGGGTGGCCCACCACTGCACCTGCCGTCCACTTCTACATGTGTGCTATCCTTTACCTTGGTCGTTCATCGATTGGACCTTTCACTTTTCACCTCTTGGGAAAATGCTTCTTTCCCCAAAAAAGCAGTGGCCGCAGGGAGGGGTCTGCCTATTGGAGGTACCCCGGGCCTGGCAAACCAGCAGATCCAGTTCCCCTTTCTGCTGTTCCCTGGTCCCTAAGGCAAACTAAAAGGTGATTGCCGTCTCACCATGCTTGAAGCACTTTGGAAGGGCTCGGCCCAAACACGTGCGGTCTATTTCGAGTTTCAACCTCCTTTTAAAGTTGTTCTTTCGAAAGCCCGGGCCTTCGTGTCAGAAGCTTCGACAGTAATTTGGGTATGGGTCAAGACTACACCACCAGAAAACCGCAGGTGAGAAGTCCTTGGTTCCATTTACCAGGGCCCAATTGTGGGGTAACCCTATTTTTGACAACCACCACCATTTCTCCGAGCCCAAGAGAGCTTCTCTCGCAGGCCTTGGCATTCAAAGAGCTCTGCGCTGTCTTGGTCGCCCTGGCACAGCTGCGTCAAGAGGCGCACCGGATCTCACGGCGGAGGAAGGGTCAGTGGAAGAGACTAGTCTCCCAGTAATTAGTGCCCTTTTTTTGGGGGAGGGGTCCCCTACTAAAATAGAGGTCCAGAAAAAAGTTGGTAACCTTATTCTTCTACTGGAGGACCTTCAGAAAAGGTGCATTTGCCGCCAATGTTGGACCAGAATTCGGATCCTGGATTGGGAAAAGCACTTTCTACAATAGAGGCCCCTATCATTGAAGGAGGTGTAACATAATATCACAGTTGCATTTGTGGCGATTAGAACATTCCCATTGCTGCAAATGTCCGGAGTGTGAGGTTGACAAAAGAAAAGGAAGAGCCAACTCAGGGCTGTCCTTCACTGTCCTCGGCTTTGCTAGGCTCCATTGTGCCATGTGGATCTGGTATGTGGGGTAGAGAATGTCGCAGTGGATGCGCAAAGAAACACCGGAGAACGGTTCTGGCCTGCAATGAGGGCTCGGTACGTGCGCCTCCAGTTCGGACCTCGCAGACCCTCCCTAACCTCCATTGGCTTAGGAAGGTGTTTTGATTTTCACCTGTTGGTTTCACAGGGAATCTGTCACTAGTGGAGGTTTGTTTTTTTCTCTTTTTTTTTCCCCCCCCAGGGGACTGAAGCAAATGGAAGCCTATTAAGTAGTGGTCCTTGGAACCTGGGGCATTTCTTGCAGCTTTGGGCTGCTTCTGTCAGATTTCCAACCTGCGCCTTGGTTGACATGGACATCTTGACCACCTTTGACCAAAGAAAGCTGCATGAGCTACAGGGCAAGGCTGCTGCGTAGGATTGAGGGCCCTCGCCTTGAGCTCGCGCGTTCATTTCTTGGCCAATTATGATCTCTCGGAGCCCGAATTGAAAGGTTAGTATTGCTGCTGTTTTGTTTGACTACATGCGTAAGTGGAAAGTGCAGCACAAATGACCGCCAGTGAACCAATGTGTCAACACATGCAAGCACTCCTACGAATAATTAGCTGCCTCATTCTGTGCGCGTGCGCGCGTGCGTGTAAGATAGTTGCCACCGGCATTCCTTTTGAAGGGAGTGCTTGCAGTGGTCTCTGCATCGTTTCCCTATGTTTCCCTGTTTCCTGTCTACTTAAAGGGGGAATGTACGTCAGGTAAGGGGCAATAACCATGGTTCCCACAAAAGCCATGGCTATAATTTATCAGTGTCAGTTCAGTGGGTTACCGGGCTTACTCTGACGTACCAAATTGATCGCCGCAAGTGCCCCGTTAGGTAGCCCCTAGGTCCCGCAGTAGTGCCCTTTTACCCTTGTTTGAGGGAGGGTTCCCCTACTAAAATAGAGGTTCTGAAAAAACTTGGTACCAACTTATTCTAACCTCTCTACGGGAGGACCTAGTTGAGGGTAATGTTGACCCCATATTAATCAATCCCAGTTTATTGATAGGGGGGTGTTCTCCTCCAAAAGTGATGAATCCCCATCCTCTGCTGGAGGACCTAGTTAGCCCTGCGGGCCCGGCCCCAAGCCGCTCGCCGCCTCTTCACGTCGCTTCGCAAGGCCCAGCTGCGGCGATTCCTCGCGCAGCTGCAGCGCAGGAGGCTCTCCGGCGCCCAGCCACGGGAGCCGATTGGGAGTTGTGTGCTTTCTTCAGGTGCATTTGTTTGGTTTTAAAGGGAAACCAAAAGAAGAACCCGCCAAGTTGTGTTTTCTTTTGGGGGGGTCCACTATTGTGACACACTCACACACATGCGCGCATTTGTTGCTACGGTTTGCTCAGGGTCTTGGCTTTTAAAACAACCTCTCTTAAGTCTGCATGGCAGGCAAGGCGGGACGGCGGCTCCACAGATGGGTTTCTTCGATTCCGTTGGGCCCATGTGCGAGCCGCGAGGAGCTTGCCAATGCGGCCTGGGCGTGTGCCAAGGGGAATCCAAGCAGCGGCTCCGCGGACTGCACGGGGAGTGCCAGGCGTGCTGTTTGCTTCTAGTGATTGTCAGGGTTGATTGACTAGTAGCTATGGCTATGACCTTTAATATGGAACCACCTCAAGAGTGATCAGTGGACATGAATCCCCACCTTGACCTTGCTGATGTCCACCAAAGGGTGCCCCCATTCACGCCAATCGGCCTGGGCCATTTTGGGCCACTTTGTAGCAATATCTGAAACGAGTATGTTGTGACAGCGGCGGCGAAACGTGCCAAATTCGTTAGACAGGTTTGGTTGTCAGGCTAAAAAATAAGGTGCTGGCTTGTTCTTCTTCATTCCTTCCGCAAGCACGGGCACCATTGGTGTAAGAGCATAGAAGTCTAAGTGTTGTAAGGGCGTGTTATTGTTGGTCTATCCGAAAGGCGATTGCGTGCATGTGGGCGTGCTTGCGCGTTTGAGTTTGCGTTTGGTTTGCGCGCGCGTGTGCGTGTGCGTGGCGTGTACCGTGTGCGTGTGCGCGTGCGCGTGCGCGTGCGCGTGCGCGCGCACGTGCGTTCGTGCGTGCGTGCGTGCGCACGTGTGCGCGCACGCACGCACGTGTGTGTGTGTGTGTGTGTGGGTGTGTGTATATATATATATATATATATTAATATATATATATATATATATGTGTGTGTGCTTGTGTGTTTGTGTGCGATTGCACGGCCAACACTGCCAGTTAACTCAGCAATTGAAAACAGGAGAGCCACAACGATTGGCGTATGTTCTCGTCATCATTTTCTCATGAGCAAGCTTAAACAATATGTTTGGGGAAGTAGTGCATTTAGCCTGTTGCTTAGGACCTTGAACATCTCATTCCCTCAGATTTCTTCAGCTCCGTCAGATGTTTGGGTTATCCAGAAGATTTTGGAGCGAGCGATACAAGTTTGACAAGTTATAGCAAAACGTCCATGTTTAATTCGCAAATCAAGATTGCTTGGCCACAGACACGAGTAGTCACAAACTTGGAACAACTTCTTGGTTTAATGTAACTGGCTTTCTGGCAGCTCCAGTTTCCCACATGTCAGTCTTTCCCATTGCACTCCTTGCTTGGCACAAGGTGCGCCGTGCTTGCAGCACATTGCCTCGGCATCTCTGCAATCAGGAAGGCCGGGCATGGTCCGACAGGCGAATCCACGTTTCAGACAATGTGTTTGTATACGTATAAATACATATGCACATATATATATATATTAAGATACGCATACACATGCATGTACTACTTTCTTGCTCCGCCCAGCCTGGTTCGTTTGCATAGTGGCTTCCTTCACGTCAAAACTACTTGGAAGCGAAATCATTCAAGATAGACTTTGCAATCGACCAGTCGTTCCAGCAGCACAACCTGGATCTGTGAGCGTTTCACAGACTGATCACAAATCTTGGTCAGCTTTGGCCGCTCCTCCTGCAAGCCTTGGCCATTCTCGTAGCTCGTTGCGTCAGATCCATCAACACTTTTCAGAGTGCGGAAGTGGCGTTCCGCACCGTGCCGTAGGAGAGACGCATGAGTTTAATTGGGTCGAAGTAAAAAGCCCATGCCTTCTCGTTCTGTAAGGGGCGGTCCCTTAACTTGTTTTGCAGGTTCGAGTCATTGTAAACCGATGCTGAGGAAAAAACGAGTACCGCCAGAAGCCAGGAAGAAACAATTGGTTCAAGGCTTGGCTCTTGTGTGCGGCACCCTGTTGAGAAGCTATATGAGGCAATGGAAGTGAGCCGATTCTCCAACCGATACCCAGTCGATACCTAGAACCGATACTCATGCCACATCCAATCAGCTGCCCAGTAGCACTGTCTTTTGTTTTGGTATCTTCACACCAACTCCTCGAGTTCCTCTTGATGACTGCACCTGCTTTTCCATCACGAATCAAGTCCATGCACCGCTGCCTGCCTGCTTTTCGTGGCCACGTCAACGACCTACAGTGCACTCAACGACTCGTAGCCCCCAAAGCTTTGTAAACGGATATACAATGATACAGACAGAGGGAAAAAGCGATACTGACCGATACTAGAGCATGAACAAAGGCTTCATATGGGGCTTTCATTTCACCCCAACTGTCGTTGCATTCAACACCGCTACTCTTTTTCAAGGGACGTGTTGTGTGTTTTAATACTGTCATGATATGTTGTAACTTTCTGAGTCGATATGATATGTCTGGTAGATTGACTGATTCAATATATAGCTCAAAGCCGACCAACCATCAACCCGGCGTTTTATTCCCGGCGGACCTGGAAACAGATGCGCAGTCGCGCGGACGTGGCTCATCCCAGCACCCTCCGACTACCGTCTATTTTTTTCGGAACTACCGGGTATTTGGCAGTACTTCCGAAAATAAGATAAAAGACAGTAGATCCCAAATCTACAGTCGTTTCACGTTGTCCCAAACAGTAAAAGACAAGCCCACGGGGTGACACGGTGACACGCGGTGACACGCAGGCGACACAAGGTAACACGCAGGCGACACGGGGTGACACGCAGGTGACATGGGGTGACACGCAGGTGACACTGGGTGACACGCAGGTGACACGGGGAGACCCGGGGGCGACACGGGGGCGACCCAGGGTGACACACTAAAACTTTAGAGCCTCCGGCTCAGTCCGCCGACATTGTCCTCTCCCTTTTCTCCTTCTTCCTCTCTTCCTTGTCTCCCTTGTGTGTTCTGTCGTCCTCTCTCCCTCCCTCTGCTCCCATCCTCCCCATCCCCCCAAGCCTCTCTCTCCCCACTCTCCCTCTCTCGTATGTATGCATGCATGTACATGTATGTATGTATGTATGTATGTATGTATGTATGTATGTATGTATGTATGTAATGTAATGTAATGTATGTATGTATGTATGTATGTATGTATGTATGTATGTATGTATGTATGTATGTATGTATGTATGTATGTATGTATGTATGTATGTATGTATGTATGTATGTATGTATGTATGTATGTATGTATGTATGTATGTATGTATGTATGTATGTATGTATGTATGTATGTATGTATGTATGTATGTATGTATGTATGTATGTATGTATGTATGTATGTATGTATGTATGTATGTATGTATGTAATGTGTAATGTAATGTAATGTATGTATGTATGTATGTATGTATGTATGTATGTATGTATGTATGTATGTATGTATGTATGTATGTATGTATGTATGTATGTATGTATGTATGTATGTATGTATGTATGTATGTATGTATGTATGTATGTATGTATGTATGTATGTATGTATGTATGTATGTATGTATGTATGTATGTATGTATGTATGTATGTATGTATGTATGTATGTATGTATGTATGTATGTATGTATGTATGTATGTATGTATGTATGTATGTATGTATGTATGTATGTATGTATGTATGTATGTATGTATGTATGTATGTATGTATGTATGTATGTATGTATGTATGTATGTATGTATGTATGTATGTATGTATGTATGTATGTATGTATGTATGTATGTATGTATGTATGTATGTATGTATGTATGTATGTATGTATGTATGTATGTATGTATGTATGTATGTATGTATGTATGTATGTATGTATGTATGTATGTATGTATGTATGTATGTGTATGTATGTATGTATGTATGTATGTATGTATGTATGTATGTATGTATGTATGTATGTATGTATGTATGTATGTATGTATGTATGTATGTATGTATGTATGTATGTATGTATGTATGTATGTATGTATGTATGTATGTATGTATGTATGTATGTATGTATGTATGTATGTATGTATGTATGTATGTATGTATGTATGTATGTATGTATGTATGTATGTATGTATGTATGTATGTATGTATGTATGTATGTATGTATGTATGTATGTATGTATGTATGTATGTATGTATGTATGTATGTATGTATGTATGTATGTATGTATGTATGTATGTATGTATGTATGTATGTATGTATGTATGTATGTATGTATGTATGTATGTATGTATGTATGTATGTATGTATGTATGTATGTATGTATGTATGTATGTATGTATGTATGTATGTATGTATGTATGTATGTATGTATGTATGTATGTATGTATGTATGTATGTATGTATGTATGTATGTATGTATGTATGTATGTATGTATGTATGTATGTATGTATGTATGTATGTATGTATGTATGTATGTATGTATGTATGTATGTATGTATGTATGTATGTATGTATGTATGTATGTATGTAATGTATGTATGTATGTATGTATGTATGTATGTATGTATGTATGTATGTATGTATGTATGTATGTATGTATGTATGTAATGTATGTATGTATGTATGTATGTATGTATGTATGTATGTATGTATGTATGTATGTATGTATGTATGTATGTATGTATGTATGTATGTATGTATGTATGTATGTATGTATGTATGTATGTATGTATGTATGTATGTATGTATGTATGTATGTATGTATGTATGTATGTATGTATGTATGTATGTATGTATGTATGTATGTATGTATGTATGTATGTATGTATGTATGTATGTATGTATGTATGTATGTATGTATGTATGTATGTATGTATGTATGTATGTATGTATGTATGTATGTATGTATGTATGTATGTATGTATGTATGTATGTAATGTATGTATGTATGTATGTATGTATGTA